AAGGGCCCAGGGTGTGCACCAAAACTTGGGAACAGCATATTGCCAAGGTGAGGCAGAAACTGGGCAGAGGGGAGCACTGCTCTCTCTCCACTGTGGGCAAAAACGTGGTCATCAGGTGTGAGGTACTCTCGATATTGTTGTATGTGGCGCAGATCTGGCCTATTCCCGAGCCTCGGAGCAGATGCTGATGAGGTGCAGTGGGGAGAGACCAGCATCTAAGGTCTTTCTGCCAAAATACAAGGGTCCATTCAATTATCAGACCCACTCGTTTGTCTCAATGTATGTAAATAATGTCCTACGTGAGTAGGAAATACATTTGGTTTTTTGAAACTGCAGGGAATGTCAAATTCAAATGGTTGTTCTTTATATGCAAAGACTGTACAGAACTGCTTTAGTTCCTGTATATATACATAAAGTCTTTTTATGAACAAATTATATTTTTGCAATTAAAACAAAAATGCTTTCTGAGCTTTGTCCTGAAGACCGAGCTGCTGACATCACAACACATCTGGGGGGCGGAAAGTTACCTGGACACTTTGTACCATGTGGTGGTCACATCCATTAGGATATGGTCTTTTGAATTGGTCAGTGGTTAGGAGCGTAAGGACGTGACTGTAAGGCAAGTAAGAGGATAGAGAAGGTAGAATTGGAACAGCCTCATTCTTTGCAATTGTAAAACAGTTTTGATGTATGGACAACCTGTATGGACAAAAACAAAGCAGGAATGCAGGATAGATGAGCTAATTATCCATGGCATGATGGTACAGGAGACCATTCAAGCAGGTCGAGCAAATAGATTTATAGTGATATAGGGGACAGTATAGTCAAGGAGATAGATATAGAATCATAGAGATCTACTGCTCAGAAAAAGATCCTTCAGCCTATCATGTCCACACCAGTCAAAAACAACCACCTAGCTATTCTAATCCCATTTTCCAGCATTTGCCCATAGCCTTGCATGCCTTGGCATCACAAATAAACATCAAAATATTTCTTAAACGTTATGAAGGTTTCTACCTCTACCAAACTTGCAGGCAGTGAGTTTCGCATTCCGATCATCTCACTCATCTGGGTGAGAAAGAGCTTCCTCAAATCCCCTCTAAACCTTCTGCCCCTTACCTTAAATCTTTGCTTCCTTGGTCATTGATCCCTCCATCAAGGGGAAGAATTTCTTCCTGTCTACCACATATGCCCCCCTCCCATAATTTTATACATCTCAATCATGTCCTCTCTCAGTCTTCTCTGCTCTAAGGAAAACAATCCCAGTCTGTCCAGTCTCTCTTCAGTCTCTCCAGCCCAAGTAACATTCTGGTAAATCTGCTCTGTACCCTCTCCAAAGCTATCACATCCCTCATTTAACATGGATTCCAGCTGTGGCCTAACCAATGTTTTATACAATTCCAGCATAACCTCCCTGCTGGTAAACTCTATGCCTCGACTAACAAAAGAAAGCATGCCATACGTCTCCTTAACCACTTTATTCACCTGCTCCAACTAGTGTACATACACAGCAAGGTCCCTTTGATCCTCGGTGCTTCCCACAGTCACACTGATCATGCATTCTCTTGTCTTGTTTATCCTACCCAAACGCATTACCTCAATTTATCCAGAATTGAATTCCATTTGCCACTGATCAACCCATCTGACCTACTAGTATATATCCTCTTGTAGTCTAAAGCTATCCTCCTCACTATTTACCACCCCACCAATTTTTGTATCATCTGAAAACTTAGTAATCAACAGTCCTATATTCAAGTCATTTCCAGTTACAAAATCACCTATCAACAATTACCCTTCATTTCCTGCCTCTGTGTGAATTTTGAATCCAGCTAATCAAATTCCACTGGATCCCATATGCTTTTATTTTATTAACTGGTCTGCCAAGTGGGACCTTGTCAAAAGCCTTGCTGAAGTCTATCTGGGCCGCATAAACTGCACTACACTCATCAATGTTCTTGTTACTTCTTTAAAAAGTTAAACTGAGTTAGTCAGATATTCCCTTAACAAATCCACTATCCTTAATTAATCCAGAATTAGTTCCAATAATTTGCCTACTACTGAAGTTAGACTGACTGGCCGATAACATTTCATTATATCTTCTGTGTCCTTTTTCTACCAAAGGTACAATGTTAGCAGTCCTCCCATACTGAGGCAACACAACTGTATCCAGAGAGGACTGGAAAATGATGGTCAGGCCTTATCAATTTCTTCTCTAGCTTCTTTTAACAACCTGGGATACATTTCATTCAGCCCTGGTGACTTACCCACTGCCAAGAATACTAATCCTATTAGTACTTCCTCTCTCCCTATGTTTATCACATCCATGAATGGGTCATTTTTGAATTGGCAAGATGTAACAAGCGAAATGCCACCGTGATCTGTGCTGGGTCTCAACTATTTACAATCTGTATGAATGACTTGGGTGAAGGAACCACATAGATGGTTGCTAAATTTGCTGATGTCACAAATAGTTAAAAAAGTTGTCAAGAGGACATAAGGAGTCTGCAAAGGAATATAGAATTGACCGAAAATTGACAGATGAATTCTAATGTGCAAAAATGTGGACTTGAAGAATTAAAAAGCAGTACATTATTTCAATAGAGAGAGTTCGCAGAGCTGTGCAGTACGCAGACGTTGTCCTGGTGTATGAATCACAACAGTTACACAGGTTCAACAAATGATTAGAAAGATAAGTAGATTGTTGTTGTTTACTACAAAGTCAATGGAATATAAACATAAGGGTGTTTTGCTCCAGTTTTTTTGAATATTGGTGAGCGCACATCTAAAGTACTGTGTACAGTTTTAGTTCTTTTATTTAAGAAAGGACATAATTGCTTTAGAAGCAGTTCAGAAAAGGTCACTTGACTGCTTCCTGGGATGAGGCAATGAGGAAAGGATAGACAGGTTGTGCTTGTATCCATTGGAGTAGAGAAGAATGAGAGGTGATCATATTGAAACGTGTAAGATCCCGAGGGGACATAACAGGGTCAATGCTGACAAACATTTCCCCTTATGGGAAAAATTAAAACTAGGGGACGCAGTTTAAAACAAAAGGATAACACAGTGTGGAGCTGGAGGAACACAGCAAGCCAGGCAGCATCAGAGGAGCAGGAAAGCTGACGTTTCAGGTCGGGACCCTTCTTTTCTGCATCGGCAGTTCTTACTATCTCTCTTAAAACAAAGGGCTCTCCCACTAAAACAGAGATGAGGAGAATTTTTTCTGTTCGTGGTTATAGAACTCTTCCCTAGGGAGAGGTGGAGGCATTGAATATTTTTGAATATATTGAACAAGGCAAGCTATGTAATTGACTAACAAGGATGTCAAAGCATACTGGGGGTAAGAAGAAAAGTGGAGCCGAAGCAACAACCAGATTGGCCTTGCATTTATTGAATGGTGGAGCAGGCTCGAAAGGCCAAACACCATCCTCCTGCTCCTAATTCATATGTTTGTATGCAAAAATAACTTCTAACAATCTAATAGAGCTGTCATTTCAAAGACACGTCATACTGAAAAAAACTTTCATCCATAAAACCATTCACAAAATATAAATTCCCTCAAGTTGTCAATCTGTTATAAAAGCAAAGAAACATCCATCCACTGACAATATCAAAGAAAACTTTTCCTTCACAATTTCTTAAAAGTGTCTATCAAGATATGGACATAACCACCTGCCCTCAATAAGTAATTCTGAACTTTTTGAAACTCCAGCTTCTGAGCATTCAGAAGAGCTCCAGCTATTAAAACAAATTATAATAAATATCAACAATGCAGTCAACTGAAACCAAAATATCAAATAGCCTTTTTGTAACCTGTGCTGCTTTTTAATTTCTATTTCAAAGTAAACTACCGTCAAACAATGAAGTATATCAATTGCACAAATGTTTCTCAATATTCAACAGCAGGGCCACGTTTTATCCATACTAAAATTTGGTAGATATTTAAATACTTTGGGAGAGTTTCACAGCACATTTTTATACAGGTTTGAATGCTTTATGCAAATTTTATCCTTGTAAAATATACTGTGATGCACGTTAACACTTATACAATGGTGATCAATCTAAAGGCAAATTTACGTTTTCAGGACAGAGCTCTATAAGCAATTACTACAGGGAAAACATCATTAATGTATCATCTAGCACCTCACTATTGATAGCAAATAAACGTTACTTCAAAGCTTGTCAATGAAAGAATTCCAGGAGAAGGTGATTTTATTTTGGTTCCTCATTCCCAGCTCTTCTGAGGTGCTGTGAACCACATCTCTTGCCAAAACAGGCAGACTCTATGAAAGTAGTGGAACATCTGTAATGCCCAGGTTATGAAGTAGGCAAGGGATTGCTGAGTGTAGGATCGATATCTACCTCTTTATCCTGGAGCCATAAAAATCCCATAAAACTGAAATGGGGCAGGAATCCTTAGGATCAGACTGTCTACCTCATTTGGGAAGGATTGCCCTTGACTATAGGGTTCGCCCAACCTACACAATCACATGGATAGGAAAATGATATGGAAAGCACTAAAGTATCTGCAAGAGTAATTCATATCTTAACTACCCATTTCCAACTGTTGCCTCACTCTTACACTCAATCCTCTCCCCACCCCGTCCTGGAGGCATCACTCAGCATTGAGGAATCCATTTCATTGTGAAGACTCATGGGGGGTGGAAAGGGAGAGAGAGAGAGATACAGAGAGAAAGAGAGAGAGAGAGATGCTGCCTGACCTATTGATTTTTTCCTAAATTTGCTGTAGTTATGAGAGATTAAAACAGATTTCGTAATGATGATAAAACTAGAGAGACAGAGGTTAGTATCATGCCTATCCTTTAATAGGTTGCTGCATATTTTCATTACACTAAGATAAAGAATACTTTATACAGGTAATTAAAAAAGAACTTGGCTTTTAAAGTGATAATATTTGTAATGGCGTACTGTGATTTGCAAGCTTATGTGTATTGTCAAAAATGCAATAGTTGTTACATTATCTTCAGTACTGCACAACTTACCATATCCTCAGGGTCTGGTTCAGGTAAACTAACACCCCGAAAAAATTGGTTATTCCTGAATATATGCTCATGCCTTGGGATGAGTTTACCTAAATGAAAATAAATGAAGTTATGCAATAATTGTTACATATGCATCACAGTCATATCAAAGAGCGTAAACAATTACTTGATGATAAATAGTTTACCCAGAGTCCTTATTATCAAGTAGATTTGGTCCACATCTGATTTCCCAGGCCATAATGCTTGTCCAGACACCAGCTCTGCAAAGACAGTACCTACAGCCCAGATATCTACTGTTGCCCCATAGTGTGGATCTCCCACAAGGAGCTCTGGTGCTCGGTACCAACGGGTTGCTACATAGTCAGTGTAATCATCTCCTCGACCTGCTGTTCAGGAAAAATAAAATTGATATAATTTCACATGAAATAAAGCCTAAAGATGGAGTCTGAAAATTGACTTGCTGCCACAGGAAGGTTCATAGAAGTTGGAAATTAACAACTTGTTGTAAGATCACATAAACCAAAACTAAACAATGTATATGAACATATTTTAAATCATTTTACCATAGTCATAATATTATAAATCAAAAGCTATTCCAATACAAGTAAATAGTTTACAATTTCAAAAAATAACAGTTGCACTTATTTATTGTAGGTATCTCGCCATTACATTTTTCACTTTAGGATCCAAAGGTAGCTTTTTATAAAGATCATGGTAACTCCAATTTTCCCTAACTTCTTATTTTTTTTAGTTTACTGCTCTTTGAAATTGTACAAGGCTCCAGTACTATTCAGAAATTGAATGCTTAGAATCTCCAACAATGAGCCAGGTTTTATTTGGTTGCTTTCCAATGCGTGATGATATGTGCCTTTAAGAGATCTTCTGTCCCTTTTCTCTTTAAGAGGAGTGTTGACACCATGGTGAAGACATGTCTGCTTCAGAAACAACGGGTAAACTCCCTGAGTAGTTTTTTTTTAATTGAACAAAAGAAGCATGAATGGATGGAGTCAGCCTCATACAGTCCCTGGGTTTTAGTTTTGCTTTCTGTTGGGGTTTATGGAATTGAAACTGATAGATACAGCTCTGTCTCTGCTGCAGCAAAAAGCTTGAGTTCTCTGTCTCTGCTACTAGAATGTATCTTTCAGTATCCCATTCTCCTGGACTGGAGATAGCACATGAGGAAAATCTGTTTTGCTGAATTTGCCTTTGCCAAGGGTGTGTTTATGAGATGATGCTATATTGGAACAGTTCATGATTAGCAGTTAAATATATATATATTATTTTGTTAAGTATTTTGATAGAGTTAAAGTTATGCCAATGCTGTTGTTAATTTATATTTTAACTGTGTTGTAAGAATAAAATGTGTTTTTCTTAAAGCCTAGTAGAGGACCAACCAAATCACATCTCGAACACAGCACCTTTACATAAGATAAAAGTTAGGGTCTAGGCTATCTCCTTGATATATTTTGAGGGGCTTTAGTCTGGTCCATAACAAATGATATTTGCTAGAGTCTATGTCAAGAAATTGAGTAAGGACACCATGGAGCTGGGCTGAGACATTGATAATTGTTGTCCAATGGACATATTTGAGCTTTGTCTCACAGCAAGTGCCACTTTCAGGGGTATAGGAAAGGTCATGTTTTATATTTAGTTTCAGTTAGTCATGATCAAGTAAACAAAGTATATTAATGAATTAACCTGACATAATAATTATCTCCTTAATTGTAATCAATTTAAGGCACTTATACACTGCTTGACAGACTCTGTATCCTTATTTGCCAAATAAGGCCCACTGATTTAAAGGCAAAGGTAAAGATGCCATAGTCCTTTTGGGCCATATAGCTACTCTCTCATCAGAGAGAGGTGACTGGTGTTGGTTTAACATGAGGGTCACCACACCTCAGGTGAGGTGAGAGGTTGAGAAGGAGAGTCCTGAGGTAACCTCAGCAGTGTGAAAATTGAATCCATGCTTTTAGTATCATGTTGCATCGCAAAACCAGCTGTCCAGCCAACTGAGCTAATTGAAACCTCTTCCTCTGCTGTACTTTATGCTTTAATTACAGAATAAATGCTAAAAGCCCTGACGAGTTTGAATTAACAAAGCTACTCCCCTCTGACTTTGAGACATGATGATTTGGTTGACGCATATGCGATGTGTTTGCCAATGTAGGCTGCTGGCGCTGTTGTAGGTGTGACTTTGAGATAGGACAGTGCCGTACAAAAAACTGTCCACTCCTTCAATTGATGACTGCTGACAACCATGACAAGCTTCCGGGCTTTTTGTTTGCACTAGAGAGTAAGGCATGACAGAAATATTGTGAGTCTTTAAGATCTGATTGAGGGGGCAAAGCGCAAAATAGTAAGGCAAGGCAGGGATGCTATAAGCATCCAAAACTGCACAAAGTGAGCTAGAGAGTGAGCAAGGAGCTCTGAGATGCTCCTGGTCCTGCCCATTAGTTGGGTGCACGTCCCTGCACACAAAGTGGTTTTCTAGCAGCATTGCAATAAAAGATTGTAAACAACACTCCAAACAGCAGCATTAAGGTGCAGAAGTGTACTATAAGAGAATCAGAGATGTACCATGATGATGCAATGAGGTTAGTACATGTTGGATGCCAACGTCCATGGACATAGGGGTGTATATGGCCTCAGCCTATGGAGTTTGTCATGAGATGTTGATGCCTGCTGTCCAAGATGGAGATCAGGAGAAGCAAGGGAAGAGTCAGAGTTGCGAGGTACATGCTCAGATCTTCATGCCCTCAATTCTCGGCATCTAGTTTCTACCTTGTGAGTGAGAGGTTGGAAGCCTGCATATTAATGAGGTTAGATTAGGCAATAATGAGGGTGCTAATGAGCAATAATCTCTATTAATTGGCTTCTCGTTGATCACTAGTGAGAATTTCATGTCGACAACTGGGACTTGGTTGAAAAAAATGTGATTTTTTTTGGTCTCAACATTGAGAAAGGCCTTAATCAACTTCTGACCCAATTTTCCAAAATTTCCCATGAAAGCCCACATATTTCCATCTTAGCTGTCAAAGGTCAAAGCTCATGTTGTGCTTGAAACTAAAGACAAGAGATTCATCTCCAGTTGGAAAAAGAAAACCATAAAAGGGACAGGAGGGAAAAGACCCATGTGTTGCCTTGTGCCCTAGGCTGAATTGACAAGTAAGACCTGCATTGAGCCAGTAAAGTTGCTACTAGCTTTAAGTATTATCTCTGTTAATTAATAAACATTATCTGAGTTACATCATTAGACTCTCTTGTATTGTCCGAATGATTAAAGTCTCAAATGAAGAAATAAATATTCTATGACTGCAAGCTCATAAGGTGAAATTTTCCCCTTGGTGGTGTGGTGTGAGTAATGTCAAGAAAGGTGGGGAAAATACGGCGAGAATGAAAAAATCAGATTTTCAAAATCAAGGAAATTTTTTCTGATCTATCCCACAAGCCATAATTGCCGACTTCTGAATCTCGCTATTAAGCGGCAACGACCTTATTTCCATGCATTCACATCTCATTAAAACCGAACTCACTTTATTTAAATGCCACTTCCAGTTCTCTCTGCCACTGAGAAACTAGACAGACTCACAAATTCCCTCCAAGTACATCGAAGTAGGTAACCAGGCAGCTGCAGTTCAACGAATGTTTGTCCTGATCATCATGCAAATTCTTCCTCACAACAATGTGACTGCATGCTCCATAGCCACCATCCTCCTAGACCCTTCTTTCATGCAAGAAAGCTTCTGCAAACCACCAGCCTCAACATATCATCGTGTCTGCCCCCAGACCAACTCTCATAATATTTCAGTGCTTCAACACTTTAATTTGGAGCTCAGAGTTACCTACGACTTTAAAGCTCTTAAAGTTTTGATTGTTTAAGGTTATTTTAGTAATGTGTCAAGCAGCTATGCTTTGTATAAAGGATGTGTGGATTTTGTTACATTTTTGCAGTCCTTGATCTTTTGGGTTGCTAAATAAATGTGTCATTATCCATCTGATTGTACACTTGATATTATTGGGTGATTCCCACTTTCAAGTACATACAAATTACATGTCCTACTGACTGTTAGGCAAAAGCAGCAGTCAATAAGATAGTGCACAGGAATTTAGAATTTATTGTCATGTGTACCTTTACAAGAAAAATACAATGAAAAGTATTATAAGTCATTTTACCATGGCACCTGTATTAATGACAGAAGTCATAAGTAAATTCATTAGTAACAATAAAAAGTAAATTTAAGACAGAAGTTCACCACAATCCATTTAGCAGCTCCTGGTTTCAGAGGATGCCAATCAAAAACCAAAACATACAGCTGGAAGGAGACAATCAATCCATGATGAGAAAGCCACTCTGGGGCGAAACCGACATGCTGGGTCATGGGAAAAACTGGGCCGAAAGCCTCCGCTGAAGAAAACTGTAGCCAGGACAAGACTGCCACCCTGAATGAAAGACACTATGCTGGGCTGTCGGAACGCTGGGCCAAAAGCATCTGCCGAAAAATACGTGATGGGCAAAGACCACCAACCTGGACGAAGACGCCACACCAAAGCATTCACTGGAGATTAAGCCGGACCGCCAACAAGAACTCAACACCAGGACAAAACCGCCACACCAGGAGACCGCTCCACAGGGCTGAGACCACCACACCGGGAAAAGACCACCACTCTGGACCACCAGCAGCCACCCCGTCAGTCAAATGAAGCGAAGATGAATTTTGATGTTTTAATAGGAACTATGCTAATTGGAAACATCAAAAACAGCGAAAGAAAAATAAAAAATTGTAGAAGCGAACGGAGAAGATTAGCTACGGGCTCCTGGGCTGAGGAGCCCGCACACTGTGCTGCTACTCTGCTGCCGCTATCTCGTGTCCCTAACATGACATTGTGCTAAGGTTAGGCAGCTCTTAAAATTTCCATCAAAATATTGCATCAGAGCAGTGAAGTTTCTCGTGATAATGATAGGGGACTCTCTAGTCAGAGGTACAGACAGAAGTTTCTGAGGCTGACAGGGAGATGTCAGAATGGTGCGTTGCCTCCTTGGCACCAGGGTCAAGGCTGTCTCGGACAGGGTGCAGAATATTCTCAAAGGAGAGAATGACCAGTCGGAGGTCATTATAAATGTTGGTACCAACGACATAGGAAGAGAAAAAGACAAGGTTCTGAGGAGAGAATATAGGAAACTGGCAGGAGGTTAAAAAGTAGGTCCTTGAGGATAGTAATATCTGGATTCCTCCCGGTCCCTTGTGCTGGTGACAGTAGGATTGGAAGGACAGAGCAGATGAATGCTTGGCTGAGGAGCAGGTGAAGGGAGAAAGATTCACAACTTTAGACCATTAGAATCTCTTCTGCAGTAGAAGTGAGCTGTATAAGAAGGACGGGTTGC